CCCGGATGGGAGGTGGTCAAGGCCAGATCAGGCTATCTCGAGAGCCTCATCGTGAACGAAGCCGAGTATAATGGCTTGATCCTGGGACTCGACATGCTAGAGGGTTTAGATCGCAGACGTCTGGTGGTCTGCGGGGATTCTAACCTGGTGATCCGACAAGTACGGGGTGAGATCGACTGCAAAGCACCCGGACTGACACTATTGAAGAAGCGGAAGGCCCTCGATCGTCTGAGGAAATGGGATGATCATGAGTTGGTTCACGTCAAGAGGGACTGGAACGGAAGTGCCGACAGTCTAGCAAGCGCTGCTTTGCAACGACAAGGGGGGATCGAGGTCCAGGAGAAGCACGGGTACCAGGATCTGGTTACCCTGAACCGGTTAGACGAAATCTAAGACCGAGGATCCAGTGGTTCGAGTTGCCGCGGTGACCACTCGAGCTGGTCGAGCAAGATCACTGGCGGGTGTCATGGATGAGGATCGGATCCGAGAAATCCGAGTCGGTCGGATTAAGCAAGCTCAAGAGGACTGGATCACCGGCATGAAGAAGTACCTGAGTGGCTCGATCGCGGATCTCACTCAAGCGGAAGCAAGGTCGTATGGCAAGATCGCGGCTGATTACGAGGTAGATGAGCAGGATCTACTCTTTTACTGGCCCTCCGCGCCGAGATCGGGAGACGATCGCGACCGACTGATGAGATTGGTAATCCCCGAAACACTACAGTCGGACGTTTTACACCACTATCACACCACGTTGGAAGGAGGACATCAGGGAGTGGGGCGAACTTATCAGCGGATCAGGGATCATTTCCATTGGAGAGGACTATACCGGAGCGTCCAGCGATATGTGGGAGAATGCGTGGATTGCGAGACAGGAAAAGGAAAACCGGTGATCCGTGGTGAGTCACCAGGGAACTTGCAGGCGACGTACCAATTCCAGATTATTGCGATGGATCACATACCGTCGCTACCCAGATCCCACAAGGGGAACACTGAATTACTGATCTGGGTCGATCTGTTCACAGGATATGTGATCGCGAAGGCCAGCTCGTCCCGATCGGCCCAGACGGTTGCGGAATCG